AGTCCAAGACAATTAATTTTTTGCTTACGCAGTGTTTTGATATACTATTTATTTTAATTTTGGTGTATAATTGGTTTTTTTGAATCGGCGGTGCTATGATGCTCGCTAACCTCCGGAAAACCCCTAATGAAAGTCAGGTCGATGGTGGCATTTTCTAGGGTTTTGGTTGATTACTGAAATTTTGGGGATGCAGTTTTCCTAGCTTCTAAGTGTTTATCACTTCCATCAAATTAACTACATTGATGAACATACACACACTATGTTGGTTAATGATATATGCATTAATAGTATTCAATATGATTGAACTGTTTTATTTAATGTGTCCTTAAACCATGCAGCAAAGTATTTATTTATGAGATTCAAAAAAGGTTCAATTAGATAAACTACTAGGGCGGTTAATTAAACTTGAGGATGTAAGAGCTAACTTCTGAATAGTTAAGTAAAATGTAGGTATTCGCCTTGTAAAGATCTTTATAACTTAAGACTTTTTGTTTTCCACCCTTTTCTTATAATCTTGTTGATGGTACGACAAACATGCTAAGTGGAGATTCTTCACTCAAAGAGTTCTGACTTTGTGGTGCGGAATTTTGTAGCTCTCGATTATGTAGTGTCTCAATCATTGGGGGGAAAATATAGTAAACAGTAACGAGTTCATTCACTAGATGTTCATTGATGATTGAACACTCAAACCTTTGCTTTGTTCCTAATTCTTCTTTTTATTATGTTAGCTTCCTATATTTAGAAAGTATCGATTTGTGAAACCTCATATTGATGTATTCATCTATAATGAACAAGACCGCCAACAATATGCTCATCAACTAAATGTATGACTTGGTGTTCTATAGAACCAAAAAAAAAAACAAAGATGAAATATTTTCTCCAACTAGGAGAATGGTTTGAACAATATTGCATTTCATTCGATACAAGTATTGCAGATGCAGCAATTTCAAGCATAATACTGGAAAGAACATGCACAACTCTCTTTTGAGGAAAAATTTCATGAACACCTTGCAATAAAAAAGGAAAAGGTGTTTTGAGACTTGAACAGCAAAATTTACTTTGGGAGAATAGGTAGGTGTTAAGTGATATGCATTTGAAAATGTGAGCTCGGTTATCTATATAATGTTTTTTTTAAATGAATGAAATGTTTTTTATAATAAAATATTATATTTTCTTTTAAAATAAAATTGTATTAAATAATTAAATAGGGCAGTTAAATTTATTTTGGGACAAAGGGATAGTTCTAACAAATGGTTAGGAAATGATAATAATATGTCGCTAAGATATTTGAACTTTTGGAGGCGTTGGGGAAGATCAAGCCCTTAGAAATCTAAGTGTAAAACAATAATGTCCCCATGAACGCACGTCTTTCGATCATTGTACAATAAAAAAACGTGCAAGCCATTCAACCAATAATTAATCTCTCATATATACCCTTCAATCGTTCCCTTTTCTTCATTCCCAATTCGATCAACAATCTGCATAACGGAACCTCGATGGTAAACAATAAAACAGTTGCATTCGTAGTCGCAATTGGGTTCATCTTCTTGAACCTCAGTGGTCATTGCTATGCAGCTCTTCAGTTCGGGTTCTACAATGGTAAGTGTCGAGGTTCAGATGTTGAAGACATTGTACGAAAAACAGTCCTCTCCAAGTTCCTTGTCGACAGAACAATCACCCCAGCTCTCCTTCGCATGCAGTTCCATGATTGCTTTGTTAATGTAAGTTTCTTCTATACATTCATGTATGAAACAAAGTTTCATAAAAATCTAACCATTTTAACTCTGTAATGATAAAGGGGTGTGACGCATCGATTTTACTAGACGGAACCAACTCTGAGAAAACAGCGCCGCCAAATCTAAGTGTTAGAGGCTACGATGTCATTGATGCTGTAAAAACTGCAGTCGAAAGGGTGTGCCCCGACGTCGTTTCTTGTGCTGATATAATCGTGATGGCTACAAGAGATGCCGTGTCCTTGGTATGCACTGCTAAACGCAAAAGATTAAGTGATCTCATCAGATCTTCGGTACTAATCTTTCTTTCTACATGCATGTAGAGTGGAGGAGGTAGATACAATGTACAAACAGGAAGAAGGGATGGACGTGTGTCTCTTGCAAAAGATGCTCAAATTCTTCCATCTCCTTCTTCATCAGTGTCAAGCGCAATTCAAGCTTTTGCTACCAAAGGACTCACTGCCATCGACATGATCTATCTTCTTGGTAATTCACAATTCCATGGATACTTTTTCTTCTTGCATAACATTTTGCTTAATGGGTGTCTTTTCTACAGGTGGTCACACTATCGGAATTGCTCATTGTTCGTTTTTTCAAGATCGGCTTTACAATTTCCAAAACTCTGGTAAACCAGATCCGACGATGGATTTGGCGCTGCTAACGTCTCTTAGGCGTACATGCCCTCAGAATGCTACGGTTGATGGGAAGGCGAACTTGGATCAAAACTCTTTTAACTCTGCAGTGGTGGACAAATCTTTCTATACACAAATAATGTTGCGAAGGGGAGTTCTCCAAATTGATCAAGAATTGGCAGTGGATGGTTTGAGCAAGTCCACGGTTGCAGCCATTGCTGGTTCGTCTGACTTCACCACCAAGTTTGGTCAAGCCATGGTTAAGTTGGGTGGCACCCATGTTCTTACGGGAACACAAGGGGAGATAAGGAAATCATGCCGGTCGGTCAATAGTCAAACTTTGATGGCTTTAGTTAATGGGTGAAGGATTTCATGGATTCTAAATTCATTTTATGTGTCATTTTATTTCATGACTATAAATTATTTATATATACACATTTAATTTGTTATCTTGGTTATTTGAATACGTATCAAACCCTATTGCATTTATCATACTACTAAAATGAGCATTTGAATTTTGATTTGGTTATATGGTAGAATCTAAAGAATCAATGTGTTAATTACGTGTTATATTTCTCAGTCAAATTTGTATTTTTTAATTTTGTTAAATGTTAATTAAACCCATGATACATATGAAGATGGACTTTTAGCGACGGTAGGGTCTTCGTTGTTGTAGACTAACATGTTGTATCTAAGATTTGGCAAATTTAGACACTTAATGACCCCATGCGTCGCAAAAGAGTAGACTACAAATTATCAACCAAAAATTTCTCCACTAAAAGTATCTGCTTCAAATATACATAGTAAGAGCGGAAGTTGGTTTAGTTTATGAATTTTTATGTTTCTTTGGTTTGGTTTACTCGGTTTGAAATTGAAATTGTTTTTTCGGTCAAAACCCTAAATCAAACCAACAAAAATCCAGAACAAATATCCAAAAACTAAATTATGATTTGCTTTGGTTAGGTTTAAAAAGTGAGGAAACCAAAATTTGACCTTAAAAATAAATCAAAAGTTTAAAATAAAAATATATAATGTTTCAAACATCAAAACTAAGGTCTAAATCGAACATAATTTAATGGGTTACACTATATAGTAGAAATTGCTTAGAGATGTCAATTAATCTACTCTAATAAATAAAAGACTTTTTTTTTATGATATGTTACATTCTCATTTAATTTGCAAAATATCATTTTGTGGTTATTTTGAATTAATTTCTTTTTTATATGTTATTTAATAGGTTTTTCTATTTTAATAAATTTCATATGATACTTTAATGTAATAATTAAAATAAATATATTAATAAATGAATATAAATTTCGTTAATTAACTTATCTTCTTATTTCAAAATTCTCAAATTAAACCTCATTAGTTTATTTTGTTTATTTATTTAAATTTAAAAGATAAAAAAATCAATTTTAGTAATTTATTATTTTTCTTATTTTCTTATAAATCCAAAGTTTCTTAAATATTTAGACATATATATATATATATATATATATATATATATATATATATATATATTAATTAATTAACAAATATAATACATGAGTTTTATACCTAGTGTAGAATCAAAGTTAAGAATTGTTAGCATACGTGCGTCTATGTTAAGAGTTTACACTTCAAACTTTAGAGACGGGGTGGGCCATGGATGGATGGACTAGGGCAACAACGAGTGTCGTATATGACAATTGCAACAACGACATAGTGAAGGTGTTGTAGTGCCCTAAATGCTTTAACAAAACAGAAGATGGAAGAAGCGATTAAAGGTGGAAATTTTTGGATTTTTGGAATTGAAAATTCGATGTGTGAGTGAAATAAGAAATATCAAAATATGTTTTCACTTTTTTATTATACTTGTAAAGAATAAATAAATATAATATTTAATTAATTATATTCTATAATTCAATTTGGTTTGGTCTGAACCCTACCATAATTCAAACATAATTTGGTTTGGTCCAAACACCAAACGAAACACTGAATTCAAGATTTTGTTTGGTTTGAAATCCGTTTCGATGTTATTTGATTTTTTGTTTAAAACCAAATAACGCCCAATCCTATATGTGTGATTAACTTAATTGAGCATACAATCAGACCCCATATACCATAACCCCGTGACAGAGAAGTGGGTCTGTTGTAGCCCTAGCATTGGCATAATATCCAAATGTTGTCAGTTGAAATAACAGTATCCTTCTTCCGTTTAAATGGGGTATTGCTTCTCTAACATTATACATGTATATTCTTTGACATTGATTTGTTCACTAAATGATTGTTTTCATGCTACATTAAAAAATAAATTGTCAAATCAACATAAGACTCATTAAATTCTATTTTTGTAAATGTATCTCACATTTTAAAAGATATCATATGCGAAAAAAAATACTTTCTTTGACATTGCTGTATTTTTGTAGATGTCATCTATGAAATGTTAGTTTTTTGTAAAAAAAAATATAATCTTTTTCAGACATAATAGATATTTTTGCGGTTGAAATCTATCAACATGGTAAATATGTCTCGGAAAAAGCTATTTTATTAAACAAAGCTGAATTAAACTTCATATACTACCTAATTCATTATAATTTAATATCTAATGCATCAATCATAAATTCACTAGCTACGTATTCAAACCCAAACTCCCATTGGATTGATTCCACCATGGAAATCATTTCCAAGGTTTGGTCAAAGCTTCTAAGCACTCTCTATAGCATGATGCTAAACCTATATGTTGACTTAATACAATTACTGAAAACACAAAGCTAAAATGAAAAAAAATGTTATAGATAGCAAAGATCTGAATCTTGTTTCTTTACAACAACATAATATAATTGTTTAAAGTACAATGTTATAATGTGTATTCATAACATAAATTCTATATGTATATCTCATAATTTTTCAGGTAATGGCGTGGATTTGGATATTGTTTCTTTACACCATGACTGTTGTTATGGGTCATGGACATGGGGGTGATGGAGTCAGGGATCCACCACACCTAGGGGAATCACAACCATTTTTGGGGCTCTAAGCGAACAAAAAATTTGAGACCTTTTAGCCTTTACTTTACTTAATATTATAAAGTCTCCATTTTTAACGAGATTATTTTAACTCAAATATGTACAACTCAACACAAAAATCAATGAACAAGCCATTAACCATATATATATATATATATATATATATATATATATATATATATATATATATATATATATATATATACATACATACATACGTATTTTCCCTAACAGACTTAAATATCAAAGTATTTCTATTTAATATGCTAAGAAAATAAACGTTTTACATAAAACATTAGTTATAGTCAATTCATGAATCAAATAGAATACGTTGACAAATTCAATAAACACAAATTCATAAAAAAAAACAACTCTAAAAAAACAAACATAAACAAAGAAATCGATAATAGAAGCTATCAAGTGAAAACATATAATGGAAAAATCAAGTGAAAAAGCACTCCACATTCACATACCTTAATGATTAGATTCTTCAAAGAAGTTGAGAATGGAGAAGGAAGAAACTATTTCAGCAATTCAAGAATCCGCCAACCTTTCTTTCAGTGTTCAACGGTTCAAGAATCGAGATTGAGAGTTTGCGAGAATCAATTGCTTTAGATTTGAGAATGGAGAATAAGTCGATCGCTAATTAGAGATAAGGAGATTTAATGTGTGAGTCATTGACTGCAAGAATGGAGAAGGAAGGAAGAATAATAAAAGTGTAATCGTCGCTTTAATTTGAGGCGTGTATGCATATCAGAATGCAGAAGCCGAGAAAAGGAGAAGGTATGGAATCAACATTATTTGGGTTAAGTGGGCCATTTACAAAATGGGGCCTTAAGGTGTTACTTATATTTTTAATACATAAGGCCGACCTTCACCACACCCAGGCGGTCAAGGTCTCGGTCAGCACAAGCATGGTGGTAAGTCTTATTATGAATTATTATTTACTATTTTTATCCAGATATTATAAAATATCATTTCTAATAATTTTAAATTATATTTGTAGCTTTTCTTCCGAGGAGAATCAAAGGAAAAACCAAAAATATTAAGCTCAAAAAGATGCTCTTAAATAAAAAAGCAAACCAATTGACTTGGACTTTGATAGGGATATGGAATTTGATCTCATAGTAGAACTAAAAGACATGCTTGCACGTGATTTTGGGAAAATAATGTGGCAAATAAAAAAAAAATCCTGACATTAAAGGATACAATAAAACAACATATAGGTGTAAATTATTTTTGTAAGATTATTTTATATGTTTAATTATGATTGATTTTTACTTAGCTAACTTTCTTTTTATAGATAAAGTTTGATTTTGATCGGGTTCCATGGATCCAGAGAGTGCTAGATTGTTAGAGAGTTTATAGGTGGCTTTATTAAAAGGTTTTAGAGATCGTAAAGCTGATGCAAAAAATATTTTTTAGAAGTCGGAAGGTATGAAGATATCCCGAGAGCATTAGCTATGAATGATATGGATCTTGATGATAGGAGAAAAGCAATTGAGTATTTCCAAACAGATGATCACTGCTTCAGCAAGAAACAAAAAAGTCTATAAACTGCAAACGTTCATAAACCATGGGGGATCGAGCTCGTATAGCAGTACTTTCTATGAAAAAGTAACGTACGATATATGTGATTATTTATGTAAAATATAATCTACATTTTAATGTTAAATAGAATCTGAAGAGGGTTGAAACATGTGATTATTTATGTAAAATATAATCTAAATTTTAATGTTAAATAGAATCTGAAGAGGGTTGAAACGTTCCATGTTGCTCATACCAATAAGAATGATGTATTTCTTAGTTATATAGCCAAACAACAATATGTAAGTATTTTCTTATAATTTTATCATATCATTAAATGTTTATTAATAGTTAATTGTTACTCATTTTTGGAAATCACATAATTAATTAGTTAGTGCAAGAGCTCTTAAAACAAACGCAGGGGTTAAATTGCGAATTAGATTTAACACCCGCTAAAGAAAGAGTATGTTTCGAGAAAGTATTTGGTCTGGGCGTAACCATATCAAAGGCATCAGACAAAAACCTTCTACTATCGTGTCGATTGCATGTTGATTTGTTATTTTGGTTCCCAATTGGATGTCGTTATGTATTTTTTTTTTCAACAATTAATGTCGTTAGGTATCGTTTTTTCTACACCCGACAACTGTTGATTTAAAAAAAAAATTATTACTAGCGACACTATTAGTATTACTGATGACAAAGTTATGTACAGTGACAAATATCTTTAGCTGAGACACTTTGAACAATAACGACAAAACAGTATTGACGAGTTTTTAGCGGCAACACGTGATCGCTATTACTTTTACCGAAGACAAATTATAGTTTTAATTAACAATGATTTTTGTCGTCGCTAATGCCTCGTTTTCTTGTAGTACAATCATACAACCATAACATGTCATTGGGACGGTTCGATTAAAAAAATAAGTTACAAACGAAACGTGAAATTACCCAAACCACATGGACCATTCGTGTAATTTACTATAATAAATTACAAATCTTTTTTTGTCAAACGCTTGTATCCGAACCGTATCAGACGTTTGTGGAAGGGTGTCCCTCAACTAAATGTTAAGGTTCAAGTCTCGCTAAAGACGAAATGAATAATTTAGGAGTAGTGTAAGTAGTTCGTTGTGTTTGCGGTTTTAAAATAATAAATTATTTAAATGTAAACCCTTATTATGAACTAGGGATAATGACTTAAAAAGTAATATTACCGGCAATAATATTACTATTACCGGCGACATATGTATGACCGACGACAAAGTTAGTTGCAGTGACAAATATCTTTAGCGGCGACGTGTCACCACTATTATTTTTACCGACGACAAAACCAAGTTTTAGCAGTGATTTTTATCGCCGCTAATCTTGTAGTACGAACATACAACCAAAATATATCATAGGGACGGTTCGATTAAAAAAATAAGTTACAAACCAAACGTGAAATTACTCTAAACGATATGGAATGGTTAGGTTCCATTTGTATACTTGGTGGAATTTGGCATATCGTAACCAAACCCTTCGCATGGGCTCGACGAGCACTTGTATGGTCTGGAGAGACTTACTTATCTTATAGTTTAGCGGTTATATCTGTCTTTGGTTTCATTGCTTGTTGTTTTGTCTGGTTCAATAATACCACTTATCCTAGTGAGTTTTCGTGCAATATACTCTAATAAATAACATATTTTTCTTGTCAAACGCTTGTTTCCCAGCCATATCATGTCTTTGTGGAAGGGTATCCCTCATCTAAATATGAAGGCTTCAAGTCTAGCTCACAACTAAATGAATAGTTGAGCAGTAATGTAAGTATTGTGTTGTGTTTGTGGTTTGAAAAAATAAATTATTTAAATGTCATGAACTACTTGATATATAAGCCCACTCTATCGTTGTTACCAAATACCCAGAAAAAGAAAAAAGGACACAAGCACATCTATCTAATAAAATATCATATTAAACATATACTTGAAATAAATAAAACTCTTTTAATAGCATTTCAAGAATGAACTATAAATAAATAAATGAAAATTTTAATCCGAAACAATGATGCCCACACGTCTCCCCTAAATGTACAAGACGAACAAAGTCGTGAAAGCCATTGAAGCGGTATCTTAGTTTCTCATCCTTATAAGTATACCCAAGAATCATTTATTGTTCTTCACCCCGATTCATTTAAGAACTGGAATACGAAAATGTCGATGACAAACAGTAAAATAGTCTTATTAGCAGTAGGGGTGATCTTCTTCAACCTCGTTGGTCACTGCTATGGTGCTCTCGGCTATGGTGGTCTCCAGTATGGGTTCTACAATGGCAAATGCCGAACTTCAGATGTTGAAGATATCGTAAGAAGGACAGTCTACTCCAAGTATCTCACTAACAGAAAAATTGCTCCCGCTCTCATCCGCATGCAGTTTCATGATTGCTTTGTCACTGTGAGTTGATTTCATATCATAATTCATTTGTCCCTACTAGTTGTTCTTTGTTTCGTGCTTCCTTTGGTGTACTCTTCCCAGCTACTTGCTGGTTTTTCTGTTGGTTTTTTTCATTCTAACTTTTCATGAATCAAAAGGGTTGCGATGCGTCCATCCTACTAGACGGACCCAACACAGAGAAAACCTCACCCCCGAATTTAAGCGTTAGAGGCTATGATGTCATTGATGCTGCCAAAGCCGCGGTCGAGAATGTTTGCCCAGGAGTGGTTTCTTGTGCTGATATAATCGTTATGGCTACAAGAGACGTCGTCTCCTTCGTAAGAAACATTAGCTTTAATTTTTTCCATTCACCAATATTAAATGCACCAAAATAACCTTAAGATAATATAATAAATGCAGAGCGGTGGAGCTAGATACAGTGTCCAGACAGGAAGAAGGGATGGACTTGTGTCTCTTGCACAAAATGCTCTAACCCTCCCACCTCCTACTTCTTCGGGTGTCAAGTGCCATTCGAGCATTTGCTCTCAAGGGATTCACAGCCACCGACATGATCTATCTCCTTGGTAATTCACCAACTTCTTATCAATATTATATAAAGCATAATAAGTTTGCTCAACGTGTGTGTGAACTGTGAATTGTGATGTACAGGTGGTCACACTATCGGAATCGCTCATTGTTCATTGTTTAAAGACCGTCTTTACAATTACAAGAACACTGGGAAACCAGACCCAACCATGGATGTATCGCTGTTATCATCGTTGAGGAGTAAATGCCCTCAGAACACGACAGCGGATCCTACTGCCAACTTGGATCAAAACCCTTTTAGCTCTGCAGTTGTGGACAAATCTTTCTACAGTCAAATTATTATGGGTAGAGGAGTTCTTCAATTTGATCAAGATTTGGCATCAGATCGCCTCAGCAAGTCCACGGTTGCAGCCATTGCGCGCTCCTCCGATTTCAACGCCCGGTTTGGTCAGGCCATGGTTAAGTTGGGTGCCACCCAAGTTCTTACAGGGAAACAAGGGCAGATCAGGAAATCATGCCGAGCAGTCAACCTGCCAACTTCAACTTCTTTTTTTAATTGATTGAAAGAATTTTTAAATGTTTTCTATATTTCTCCTTTTGTTTCACATATATTGTTATCGGTGTATTCATATAATTTTTTGTATTTATTGAGCTATGTACGTATTTAAGCGACTAAATATGTATTTGTTTGACAGCTGGAATTTTGAAATTTCTATTCAGATTAGCAACATCACCCTAAACTTTATTTTCAATCTTTCATTTCACTACTCTTTTATATTACTCTCATATTCAGATAACATTACTCTTATTTGGGTTACCTAATCGAGAGAATATGACTCGAGTGAATGCTTGGAACTCCATCAATCAGTTATTCAAAGCTAAACTCTCAGTATGAAAAGCTAAGTCGTTTTATTGGAGGCAAATGCCTCTTTGTCAAATATGTATTTATGTGACTGCGATTTTGCAATTTCTATTCAGATTAGCTACATCACCCTAAACTTTATATTCAATCGGTTGTTTCACTAATCTTTTTATATTACTCTCGTATATTCAGATAAAATTACTCTTATTTGGGTTACCTAATTAAACGAGATCGAGTGAATGCTTGGAACTCCATTAATCAGTTATTCAAAGCTAAACTCTCAGTATGAAAAGCTTAGTCGTTTTATTGGAGGCAGATGCCTCTTTGTCAAATCTGTCTTTGTTACCTGTAACACTTAATTTCCTGAACTAATCAGGTTTACGATATTAAGGAGTCAAAGACATGGTTTTTAGATAAAATCGGGTGTCACGACGTGACCATTGCGAGGTCACGACGTGACAAGTTAAAATGAAGAAGTGTATCCTTGAGGGTTTCTCACGACGTGATAAGAGGATGGACACGTTATGAGGATTCTTGCAGCCCAAGCCTACGAATTTTAGGGTTCTCTCCATATTTAAGGAGCTTATCTCATGACCTAGGGTATCTTCTTCAGCCTCTACTCATTTTAAAGGAAATGCTAGCCCCATCTATGAGTTCTTGAGCAGTTGGTGGTGTATTGGTGACCTGAAGGTGAATGGATCATCTTTGGAGCATAGTTTCAGCTTGCAAGCCTCATTAGCATCTCCTAGCAACTTGTATGGATCTTTGTGAGTATTCAAGCTTCATGCTTTATGTTATGTTGTTGGTAGATCTAGAGTTTTATGCTTTATTGTCCATGGATAGATGAGTTTGAGTGTTGGGATTCCATAAAGTTGGCAACTTTATGGGTCCTTAGTGTCTCTTTGTGGTTAGTTAATCAAGATCTGAAGTTTGGTGAAGTTTGAGCTCTTGCTTGAGGCTTTACCTACTTTTTTCTTCATACATGACCTTATTTGAACTCAAGACTTGCATTAGGCATGCAAGGCCTTCAAGCATCGATTTTTGTGGTTTTTGAGGTGTAATGAATCCTTTTGGAGGAGATGAGTCTGGGGCTTTGTAACACCTAAAGTTTCGAAGGCCAAGAAAGGAAAGAAAATCCCTAATTTAAGGGTAGACTCGGCAAGTCCAAGGAGGGACTCGGTGAGACCGAGCGGGATCCGGGTCGAGGAGTAAGCGACCGACTCGGCGAGTCGGCCAAGGTGACTCAGTGAGTTTGGTCTGAACGAGGAAAACCCTAATCCCGGGAGTTGTATCCTATTTAAAGGGTGTTATGTCCTTTCCTCAGCCCCCATATCACCCTAGAGAGCCAGTGCACCCTTGATTTCGGGAGAGCTTCCATCATTTTGAGAGTTAAAGCTTGGAGGAAGGAACTTTGGGGAAAGGAACTTGAAGGGCAAGTAGGTTGCTTCAAGGAGGAGGTGTAGATCCGAGATCTACTTCAGTGGTGTTCATCTTGGAGGTAACAAGCTGCTATCTCCCCCCATTTGCACCTAGATCTTTGAGTGTGTTTTGGGCATTCTTGGCTTAAGAGTAACCTTTGAGCTAGAGGTTTAAATCTGAAGTTGCTACCTCAGATCCATGCTTATTTTGGTCTAGAATTCCGTAAAGTATCAGCCCTTGAGTGGATCATGGAGCCTTTTTGCCTTAAGCCCTAGTTTATAGCATATTTTGCCTAGATCTCCTTCTCTACACGTAAAGTTTGCAACTTTACGTGGGAAAAGGCTTGGGAAGGGTGGATCTACAGTTTGGAGTTCATGCATGACTCAAATGTCCTCTGCATGTAAGGAGATCTGAAGGGACTCGGCGAGTCCTTTGAGTGGACTCGGCGAGTAGCATGAAGTTGTGGAGAAACTCGACGAGTGGGATGAACAACTCGTCGAGTCGTATGAAGATTGCCTTGTACTCGGCGAGTCTGTTCTTGGACTCGGCGAGTCAGGTCGCGAAACCCCAAACCCTTCGAGTTGAGACTCGAATCAGTGAGTCGGGTGGAGACTCAGTGAGTTGGACAGGTCAGGACTCAGAAATCGGTAGACTCGGCGAGTCAGGTCGCGAATGGAAGGAATCTGATCATTTTGAACTCGGCGAGTCAGTAGGGTGACTCGGCGAGTAGGGTTGACCTGGAAGGTTGACTTTGACCAGGACTTTGACCTTGGACCAGGGTGGACTTGGTTGTCTTTCGGGGGTCAGTTAGACTCAGTGTTGCATTGATATTGGTAGTTCGGGAGCAAGGGGAGCAGGAGTTCCGTGAGTTGTCGGGCAGCAACTAGTGAGATCATCAGCAAGTTCAGCCAGTGCAGGTGAGTTTCCCTTTGTGTGAATGGGTCTAAGGCCACAATGCCGGCCCATGTAGTTATGAGTAGAAGACCCGGGGTTAGCCCTAGGCACAGTATGCTAGTATTATTTTCAGGACGAGGTCCAGTAATAGCGGGCGGGTGCCCAAGGAATTGTTTATATGATAGTTTATACTTGTTGTCTGTGTGATACATGTATGTGCCTGGTAGGGAGGTGAGTGTGGGCGAGGTCCCGTATCTCACCAATAGCAGAGTGTGGATGGGGTTCCATATCTCATTAGTAGCAGAATAGGGGCGAGGCCCAAACTAGAACAGGAGTGAGAGTGGGCTAGGCCCGTACCTCACTACCATTAGGAGCGTGGACGGGGTCCATGACTCATCAGTAGCAGGACATGGGCGAGGCCCAGGATAGGCGAGGCCTTAGGACAGAACCAGTTGCATGTGTTAGTTATGTGTTGTGAAATGTTTATGTGTTATTATTTGTTGGCGGGCGAGGCCCTGTGACAGGCGAGGCCTAAGTAAAACAGATCTGTATCCGAGCGGGGCTCGAAGCCAGGCGGGGCCTGGAGCGGCGGGCCGTTGTAGCGGGCGAGGCCCGAGGTAGGGGCGAGGCCCAAGATAGTGGGCGTGGCCCAGTATGTGCAGTATGTGGTTATGCATGGTATGTGGTAGGGTGGGGAACTCACTAAGCTTCGTGCTTACGGTTTTCAGTTTTGGTTTCAGGTACTTCCGGTAGCGGAGGGAAGAGCTCGGGGTGATCGCATGGCACACACCATAGATTAGACAGCCTGGGAATGTTTACTCTGATAATGAACATGTGTTTTGAAAACTTATACTCATATTATGTTTTGGAATGATGACTTTACTTTAAGTAATGATTTATTAAAAGAAATTTTTGGTCTTAAATTTTGGGTCGTTACAAGTTGGTATCAGAGCCTTGGTTTGAGGGATTCGGACATGCTCTCGGGTGTGTCTGAACTCAAACTGAGGAATTGGTAAGGAAGTTTTCAAAATGGAAAGACAGTTTTGTAAAAAGAGTTTTGAGAAAGAAAATGGTTTTAGAAAAGTAAAAAGAATTCAGAAAGAAAAGAACTTTGAAATGAGAAAAGAGGTGTGGTGCATGCAATCAACCGAGCTCAAGTAAGTACCCCAAAATACCCATACGAGTTTATGATTTGATTATCAGTTAATAGAACAGCATGCTAGATTAGGACTAAGGATCTAGGGAGGATGCCTTATGTGCCTATTATATGTGCTTTTGATCTGCATGATAGTGCTGAATAGTCAGTAGTAGGATAGCCTGATTAGGTTATGCCTGAGTTTATGAGTTGTATTGCATGCTAGTTAAGATTCTTGCTATGTGGATATGATTGCTTGAGTATGTTATGGTTAGACTTTCCCTTGTCTGAATGTTGCTTGCTTTGTGCATTGTGGGATTCTAAGTGATGGGAGTTAGCCATTAGGTGGATACGTCACGTCGCATGTGATCAGGGTTGAATAATCTCAGAGTGTTGGATTTGGTCCTATTGCGCAGCTCTTGTTTGAGTCCAACCGTTGTAGGAACGAGTCTTTTACTTGAAGGATTATCTGAGCCTCGTCACATGTGATGGTATCCAGGTAATGGCTAACTGGCATTGCAAGGAGGCCTTCAGCAGCTGAGGACTAGTTTGAGTTGAGTCAAAGGTTTCCCTAGGGTAAGCCTAGGATGAGGTAGTGCTGGGAGCAGTAGTAGTAGAAAAGGGACCTGGTGGAGTCAAAGCAGTTCTTGAGGAAAGTACGGATAGATGTGGAAGGTAGTATGGGCCCGTACTACTGAAAGCAGAGGATCCGTACTCGATTCGGGAGAGGCCGAGACAAGACCGGGAACCTGGTAGTGAGTATGTTTAGTCTCGCAGCAGTGAGCAGTATTTTGATAATGGTTATGTTATATGTTTCAGTATGGTGACATTGCAAGAGGGACCAGCGGGGCGGATCAGGCGCCGGAGAGGGATTGGGCTCGGGTTTAGAGGCCGAGCAGCTCGAGGAGCGGATGAGAGAGTTGATATCAGCCGAGGTGACGCGCAGTATTCTAGCTCAGACTCATGTGATCTTTGGCACGGTCAAGGAGGGTATATTGGAGATTTTGGATGAGAGGCTGGGAGCCTTCCGTACTGAGATGATGGCCTTGCTGGGAGCACGTACCTTGACATTTCAGGAGTTCAGGGCTTGCGGGGCACCAGATTATCATGGGGCTAGGGACCCCATCGCTAACAGCAGATGGTTGGCTGATGTTGCCAACGCATTCCGTACGAGCTGGTGTCCTGAGGAGGACAAGGTCAGACTCGCTTCCTATCTTCTGAAGGACAGAGCGAGGGATTGGTGGGAAGAG